CCCCCCCCTAAACTTCCTTCTCCACTTCAGGTGCTGCTATAAAATATTAAGAGCCCAATATTCGTGAAAAAAGCGTCCTGAGCCAGATATAATCAGCGGTAACGAGAGAATGACTTCGAATGGGAATGGGGAGAAGTGGGGGTGGCCATTTCCGGTGGACAACGATAAGGCGATAATTCAGGTATAAATGTGGCAAGAGTTGTTCCGCTTGCTAAAAGGTTTGTCTTTGGGTTTTTTTCCCTTTTTCTTCGCTTTTTAGAGCTGCCGGTTGCTCTTTTCCACAGCTCATGAGCTCAATCAGAGCACCCAGATACGAAAACTAAAATGAGCACCTGCTGCTGCACTGCTTGAAGCTCATGCGATAAAAACATGATTGATTTGGAGACCGTTCTAGTTTAATAAACAAACGATTGCTAATCACAATTCTCAATCCCACCCATTTTTCACCACTCCCCCCCTCCCACTGTTACAGTTTAATCAGGAATGATTGGTAATCATAATTCACCTCCTTCCCCTCCGATGTCCCCTCTGCAAACAAAGTGGTTAAGTTTCGAAAACGAACAGCTTAAAATTTAATGAATGAGCTGCCTGATATCGATTTGGTTGTTTTCGAAACGTGTCTAATATGATAAACCCTCTAACTCCTTTCATTTTCCTACGTTCCTTTCTTAACAGAAGCGAGAGGAAAATACCAAACTATAGTCAGCCGTCGTTGAGTAGTTAGTGAACAGAAGAGCACAGAGAGCAGAGAGCTGTACCGCTGCAACAGCTTTTACATAAGTGGTCTTTGGGATGTGTCCTTGAGAAGGCACGACAACTCCAGCTTCAAAACAGATCATTACACAACAGAGACTGGTATTGGCCAGCTGAAGACCAAAATACTTAATCTATTTTTAATTGTGTAAAATATATCGCTCTATTGTCCGTTGCAATGTAAGTACATATATGTATATTGACGTGGAAAAATGTTTTCTTATTGTTAATTTAAGAACACTTCCTGTCCAAATCGAAGCACAGTTAAAGAAAGTACAAACGTTGCCAGGGGACTTTATAATTCATAGCAATATTATGAGCTTATCATGATAATAATAATAATAATAATAGATAGCATTTGTATAGCGCATATCCCCGCTAAGCAGTAGGCTTTTTGCGCTTTACACTATATTATTACCCCAGCAGACCATAGAACACTCCGAAACATTCTCAGCTTCCCGGGATAGACCTGGACATATCAAGCTGACGACATCCTTTATTCCGTTTTATTCTCGAGTTTACACGCACAGGAAAAAATGGCAGGTAAACGTTTTTTCCACAATTTGATATCCATAGAAAATAGAAAACAGACTACATAGTTTCAGGGGAATAGTTTTATGAATATTCTGAGAGATCCACGAACTTTCTTCAAGGTAACTAATTTTGGATCGGAGTTTGGCAAAGTGTTTACCCCAAGCACAGCTTCAGTGCATTTGTTCGCTCACTTACCATTCAATAAAGCAAACACGATTTTTAAAACTGATGGACACAAGTGTACTACCCAAGTCTTGAAGGCCAAGTTCCAAAGCTGTGGGCTACGCTAACATTGAGAAGTTGTAGTTTCAGCACAAAGAGCTTGCGGGCCCATAGCAAAATAATATCTTCGTCAAAGTTAAGTGTAGCAGTCGCAGTATTCTAATTCAGGGTTCGCAATCTCCTCATGGCCCCTTTTCCTTCGTCTGTACTCCTTGCTTCCAAACGAGCTGACCATTTCTCTCCTTTGCAGCATATCAAGGTAGTCAAGATCTAAAGAGAGGGGAAAAGTTCTTGGACCATCTACTTTCTCTATGTCCACCGCCCTGACAAAGCTGTATCATGCATCCTGCTAAGTTATTATCTACATCACGACATCGCTAAACAGGCGAAAAAGAAAGAAGAAAACTCAAATTCCTCTGGGATACCGACTGTCTCACACTGAAGTTGGAGGATCTTTTAGGGGAATTTATCTTGATAAATCGCCAACTGGAAACGTCTTCTTGCAGGATGATTGCACAGTAAGCTTAAAAGACAGGGATCTGCACATGTAGAGGCAATGGATCATCTCACTAGCTTGCACGTTTGGGGCGAGAAGGGGAGACAAAAGGGAGAGGGAAAAGTTTGCAAAAGATTGCAAGTTGCGAATCAGATGACTTTAGAGAGGTCATGCAGAGAAATAATAGTTGATTGGAGAATATAGAAGATGAACGTGTAGAAGTAAAGACAAGGCAAGGGTTCAAGCCAGGGTAGAAAATGTGATGTGTGCGTGCGTGTGTGTGTGTGTACATCGGGTGTGTATGTGTGTGTTTGTGTGTGGGTACATGTGTGTGTATGTGTGTGTTTGTGAGTATATGTGTGTATTTGTGTGTGTGTGTACCTGTGTGTAAGAGAGAGAGAGAGAGAGATAGAGAGGGGAAGAGAGAAAAGGGGGAGGGGGGAGATTAAGACAAGAACAGACAGAGATGCAGGTTGAAAAACAGCTAACAGAAAAGAAAACTGGAGGCTCATCCCAAACAGGACAAGGCAAAGTGAGTGGAGAACCATGACAGCACTTTACAAATGCTGAGTTCAAGACTGGTCTTTCACGGATTCGAACCAGTCGGCATCCACAGTCTACGATATCATCAAAAAAACCTAACAACATACAGAAGCAGCAAGCGTCCTGATTTATCGAACTGTGGTGCTGGGGACGTAAAGACGTATCCATCAAGCGTGAAGAGTAGCAGTCACAGTCGGCTGTCAAGGCTTCGGTAAGCCGACGTTCTGCCTCATAGATATATGAACAGTCGCAACCCAAGCACAACAAAATCCCATGTCAGTTATACCTTCTTTTGAGATATTTGAGTTCAAAGGTTAACGCCCTAAATCCTCTCAGATGAAGTACAAAGTTAGCCTGGTGTTATATCAGAAGTTACAGGAAAAAACAAACATACAACATTCCACCCAGCCAGGCCATCAAACTTGCTGGAGACAAAAAGCTCTTCACATACGCTGAAGATTGTAAAGGGCGTACAGGCGGACGCCATGGGCACTAAAACTTCGAACTGAGTTAGAACCTTGTTGTTTGGGGGCTGCGCAGTGTTGGTGAAGGAGAAAGCACATGTTAAGCGAAATGTTCCTTTTTAAAACTAAAACAAACAAAACAAAACAAAAACAAAAAACAAACAGACTTACCGAAGCAGTGAGGTAAATGACAATGGGCACATTACAGAGCAGGAAGATGAAGTTAATGAGCACGATGGTGCGCGTGATGTTTTTATGGTTGGAGCTGCTGCTTTTCTTGGGCGGGTAGAGGGCCGCAGAGGACAGGCGGCAGTGGGACACGGACGGGTTACTCTGGCTCAGGTCGTCTGCGTACATCGGAAGGGCCAGGTGAGATTTGTAGCTGCTTCCTCCGTCGTCGTCGTCGTCGTCGTCGTCGTCATCGTCGTCGTCCCCGTTCTCCGCATCGTTATTACACTTGTGTAGATGTTCATTGTTTGTGTCTATTTGATGCTCGACATGTTTTTCCTTGTCAAAGTCGTCGCTGGTTTCGTTATTTGTGAAAGGCTTGCCGTCATTGGTTGTGAGGAAGATGTGGCAGTTACACTTCGCAGAGCTGGGGGCGGACAGGGAGCTGCGCGTGTAAACACCACGAGCAGGCGAGGATGATTTGTAACCGTTCCTCTGCTCGTGAATGTTGCACTTTTCGGGAGTGGAACAGAGAGAACGGTTTGCCTGTTCTGACGGTGTGTACATAGATGAGGACGGAGAGCCTGACGGGGCGGTGCAGAGGCTGCTGGTGCATAGGCTGACGTCACTCAGATCCGCTGATGTGGAGAGAAGGACCGAATCGAGTAGAGGTGTGCTCTGTGCAGAGTTAGCTCCTCTATTACGTCTACTCCCGAATGATTTACCGGCGTCAGATCCTTTCGCTCTGTCTGCTTCTTTCTGAAGAGTGTCGTAATCTCTAGTGCCTTCTGAAATGTTTAGTGAAGTATTTGGATGGTTATTAATTTGTCCTGTCTTTTCACTGTCATATTTAGCACTATCATTGTCTGCGCTGATCTCACACGGGGCACAATTTTTTATGGCGTCATCAGTTTTGGAATTTTTGCGAGAAGTGGGAAATGTGACATGTCTTTTTGAGTCTGAAAGTTTCCGTTTCGGGGCTAGGAGTGCACAATCTTCCTCTTTATCGGAGACGCTCTCTTCGAAGTCTGGGTGAAGTTTTGAACAGGTTTCTTCCACATTCTCATATTGGTTCTGTCCACATAGTGCATCTTTGTGTTCTCCTTGAGGTGACGTAATCACCACATCTATTGCTGACGTATCTACGTCACCATGGCAACCACTGGTGCCTTCATTCGTGCTGCCGACATGAGTCTGATCACCGGTTAAAACATTCTCAGTACTTGTCGACTTTACAGAATGCATGACCTCATTAGCACTGACAAAGGGTTCGATCTGTTCCTCATGGTCGCAGCTGCTTTCTCCCATTGTGTCCTCAATGTCTGCCAGCTTCAAAATGTTCATGAAACCCTCAGCGCTCGGTCGGTCCAGCGTATCGCTCTCTTTGCCTCTCTGCGTTAAACGACCTTGCAAGGAAACATCCTCACCTTTCCGATAATCTCTGAAGCGTATTGTCTCGTTCAAAGACAAACTCTCTAAAGAAGAACACTCGCTTGTGACCGATCTATCTGAACGTCCGGTGACGTCAGTCTTTTCTGTTCGGCCTGTGCAGACTCCGTGGACACATCCATCACTGCGGCGTCGCCGCCGGCGGAAATCTGCCGAGGAGGTACAGCTGGTGTTTGGCGCCATTCCATTCAAACATATCACAGTTTGGCTTTCTTCTGTCGTGAAAACTGGGCGAGACGCACAGCGGCACTCCCTGGGACAGACACGGTTTCGGTGGGTCCCTTCCACGGGGTACGTGAGGAGGCGTTGTCTGTGAGGCCCCAGTTTCTCCAGCGACCCCACATCGAGACACGCCGTGGTGACCCCATTCTTGGGTGTAGGTGATGTCCCACAGTTCCCCACGCCACTTACCTCCGTGTTTCCGTTTAAAGGAGAAGGAGCTACCACTTCCAAACCGACTGTCTGTGGGTGGGTACCACTCGACACTTTCGAGCCTTTTCTCGAACTTTCTGTAGATCTTTGGTGTCTCTTTTGAGCGGTGGGGCAGGATGTCAGTGCCACTCTGCAAGAGGCGTCACCTGAGCTTGTGGTCCCGTTACTCTCGTGCGCAGGCTTTTTCGCCTTATGGTTCCACCTGGAGAAAAATAATTTAGCGCCCGCCGCGGCAGACAAACCGTTGATGGCTTTGGTCGTGGACGTTTTCACAGCTGTCACCGCCCTCCCGCTCCGCATCACGTTGAACACGAGACCCGCGTTCAGTGCGATCAAGAGTGCACCGGGAATGACCGCAAACTTGCAGAGGACGATCCAAGTCCAGACGTTGTTCCGGAACTCTTTGTACTCCGGCCGGATGGGGTAACACTTTCTCGTGTAGTTCTTCCTGGGGTCGAAATAGTCCCCGTACATGATGAACATAGGCAGGTTGATGGAACAGAACAGGGCGATGGTGGTGGAAATAGTCACGTATGCTCTCCGAGTGGTCAAGATTCGTTTCATCGGCCACGCGATGGAAATAAATCGGGCGGTGGAGACGAGAACCAGAGCCCATGATGCCACATCGCAGGACGCGTAGGACAGCCAGATGTGAAACCTGAATGGGGGAGAACAAGGAGGAGGACCATTATTACAGTTGATGCAGATCACATGATGCGTAGGACAGCCATTATTGAAGTCAAAGCACCAGCATTATATTTTGCTAAACGGCTGTGACTATGACTAGGACAATGACAATTTTTATTTAGTCGAAGGTAGAAATGTGTCTTGGTCGTTTACAATGGCAGTGCTTTAATACAGTGCATGTGCACATGCACACCCACAACAGGAAAGGAAATTTTAATATTATGAGTTGAACCAACTTTCTCTCTCTCTCTCTCTCTCTCTCTCTCTCTCTCTCTCTCTCTCTCTCTCTCTCTCTCTCTCTCTCCTCTCTCTCTCTCAGTCTCTTCCCCCCCCTCTCTCTCTCTCTCTCTCTCTGGGGAATTTTTAAACGAGCATCTGAGCTGGCAGGCATGGTCGAATTCATCTTCCAACTGATCCAAAATGTGTTGAAGGGTGTAAAAAACAAAAATTCTACTTCTACGTTAAAAGAAATAAATTCTTTAATTAAAGCAATCAGTCAGCAGAAAAAAGAGGTGACCGGGCGGTAGAGATGGGATGAGTTGACAAAGTCCATCGTGTGTTGTATATTATACTGTTTTTCCTGTATTGGGTTAAAAAGTTCAGATTTATTGGTGAACGCATGTGAACATAATAAGGCACTGTATTATTGTATTGAACGAAAATATAAGTATATATTATGTTCTCTCTCTCTCTCTC